TATATATATATATATATATATAATATATAAATATATATATATATATATATATATATATACATATATATATATATATATATATATATATATATATATATATATATATATATATATATATATATATATATATATATATATATATAAATATATACATATACTCTTGCATGGTAGTCACAAAGTTTTTCCCATAAACTGTAATTTTAAAGAGCGCGTTAATAAGCCTGACCAGAAAATGTTGAAAAACTTCAAAAAAAAATTTTTTTTTTTTTTTAATGATTTTTGATGATTTTTAATGATTTTTTTTTAATGATTTTTTAAATGATTTTTTTAATGAATTTTTTAAACGACTGCCTGCCCAAACCAAACCCTCAGTCGATGTAGCAGCACTTCCTTGCGAGTCAGGCTATTTGTCAGTCGATGTAGCAGCACTCCCTCGCGTATCAGGCTATTTGTCAGTCGATGTAGCAGCACTCTCTTGCGAGTCAGGCTATTTGTCAGTCGATGTAGCAGCACTCCGTTGCGAGTCAGGCTATAAGATAGTCGATGTAGCAACACTCCCTTGTAGCAGCAGGCTATAAGATAGTCGATGTAGCAACACTTAAGCATGTTTTAAAAATGTTTTTTAATAAAGCAAAAACAAAAACACCACTAATTAAAAAAAACTTTCCAGTCATTATTATTGCAGTTTTTTTAAAAAACAATAAAATTTAAAGTACTTCTGCATTAATTTAATTGCTTTGACATTTCGACAACAATCAAATACAGCTTAAGAGCCGAGTTAATTAAAATTGTAGTGGAAAGAGACTTTTTTTACCATAAAAGTCTCTTTCGACTACACTATAAAGATATATATATATAATATATATATATATATATATATATATATATATATATATATATATATATATATATATATATATATCAGGCTTGGTCGGGAAGCGGGAGCGATTGCTCTCGAATACTGACTATGGAAATTATATTTAGTTGCGAAAAACTGGCCAGGTTTTTTAGTTGTTTTGAGAACATTTAACTTTATGTACGAAACAATAAATTTTGGTTTTACGGACATACATGGAAACATAAAAAACTTGAATGTTCTCAAAACATCTTGGTGCAAAAGAATGAAAAGAATATTTGCGAACTCTAAAATCCCACCAAATTAAAGAACAAACTAATTCTATTGGTTCAAAAAATACGCTGACTAAGCGAAATAAAGTTCTAGAGTATTCTGTTGAAATGTTTTAGAAATTGTATTATCAACGATTTGTTACATTATGAGATTTCTAGAATAGATTGTTATAAAAATATATTATCAATTCTATGGCTCATTCTCGGAGCCACATCTGCATAGCCATAATTCTTATAAACTATTATTATTTGTTTACATAAATGTTTTAAATATATATTATTTAAATTGTCAAAATTTTGAAAGTTTATTTATAAATTGTAGATTTTATTAGTATATACTTATTTAAAGAGTATGTATTTTTTATGTAAATGTAATATTGTGTGTCTATTTTTTATCGATTTAATTTGTAAACAAAGACTTACAAAAATAATTGCGTTTTCAATGAAGTTATTAATAATCATTAAAGTTAATAAAACTAATTATGTAGCAATCATATAAGAAGTTTCTGGTTACTAAACAATAACTATGCATACAAAGTAACTCGCAGATAAACAAGCACCGCGTCTGAGGTCACAACAGCACATAAATATATATAGCAAGTTATTAGATATAAAGAAAAGTTTCTAGATATTGGTTCACTAAATCTAATTATTTTCGCTTAAGTTGCCATTCTTAAAAACTTGTTATACTTTTTTCTGCTTTAAATACTAATTAAAATTAAAAAACCCACTCACTAAACATCATCAGCGATATTATGAAGCAGTTTTGCTTCCTCGTCATAAAAGTATTTTTAACTTTTTTAGTTTATTTATATCTAGTAAATTTAATTTCTATAATAATTGAATGATTTAATTATTTCATTCGTTTATCTTACTAAGAAGAATTGTTTCAAATATGTTAAACTTTTTAAACTATGTGAAACATAAAAAAGGTATTAAACAAATTAACTTTTTTATTTATAAAATAATTTAGCTTTGATAAAACTAAAACTTGCAAACTTTGATAAATAAAGAACATTTTTAAACAAACGTAAGATGTTACTTTATATAAAAAACGTCGCTTAATTTTACAAAAAAATTATAAAAGAGAGATGTTTTGAAAATATTTGTTCTAAACAATTTATTTTCCTTTAAGTTTTTTTGCATTAAAAGATATTTTATTTTCCTAATTTTTTTTTTGTAATTGTCTCTCATCGGTCCAACTAATCTTTTGAGGATTTTTTTTTTGCTTTTTGAAAAGTTCTCAAAACGACTAAAAAATCTGGCCAGCTTTTCGCAACTAAATATTATTTCCGTGGTCAGCAATCGAGAGCGATCGCTCCTGCTTGCCGACCAAGCCTGATATATATATATATATATATATATATATATATATATATATATATATATATATATATATATATATATATATATATATATATAATGTGATAAATATTAACTGTCAGGTAAAACAATTAATTTGTCTTGCTGTGTTTTACAGTTGTTAACCTAAGAGAAATATTATTAGCTAATATTCGAAACAAATCAAGAATTAAACACAATAAAAAAAAATAAAAAAATAAAAAAAAAGTACTGAACATTACAAAAAACGCAAAAATAATAAAAACAAACAATAAAAAATTACAAAAGTTATAAACCTTTTGGTTTTCAAGCTATTTATAAACGTGCCGAGCTTTCTTTGTTCCTTTTTTTATTTTAAATAAAAAAGAAAACAAAATAATTTCAAGGATAAAGAGTTATAACTAATCAATGAATAGTTATAACTCCAACCAATGAAAAATATAACAACCAAACAAGCGCACATTTTCTAACAAAAGAACTTAATACTATTTATCCATTGCAACGTCTTTAACTCAAAAACACCAAAAACAAAATAAAAATGACAAAAACTGCAATTATTATTATTTAGTTAAGATTTTATATAATATATAAAGCTTGAATAAAATTCAAATATAATGCCGCAAGTCAAAATAAGACAAAACAAAAAAAAAAAGTGCAAATCTAAGGATAGCATTGCTCAAACTCCAAAGCTATAAGCAGGCCTTGTGATGAATAAAAACTGCGCAACACATAAGAGCAACGTGATTTTTGATGTCATTAAATTCTTTTTATTTGCTTTTCATATTTATCGACATTAACTGCACCAATTTACTTAATTACCGCAAAACTACTTAAAATCATTAATGTAGAAATGTTATTATTTAAAAATGTTTTGGAATGTTTCGTTTTTTAATATGTAAAAACATTTGTTTATTTTCTTGACGTTTGACACGTTTTGTCTATACTAAACGAATAAAAAACATTATAAAAAAGATTATAAAATATGCTAATATTTGATTTTTTTTCTCTCAAATATGTAATTTAAAGTTTTTCACATAATTAATTTTTCTTTTTAAAAAGTCAGCGAGTAATAAACTGGAAATTTTAATATTGTACGATTAAAAACTGTGCAATAGCTAATATTTTTACGCGCGATTTTAGATAATATTTATTTATTTATTTTTATATATTTTCATAAAGCTGATGATAAGCACAATCACTCATATTACTAAAAAACTTTAACGAACATTTTGAATAGATTTATAATGTTTACAAAGAATTTTTTTTGATAAATTTTTGGTAAAATAAAATGTTAGAATAAAAATCTTATAGATATAAAGGAAATATTTCAGCAAAAAAATTATTCTTAAAAATTATTCTGAAAACTATTGATGTTCTATTTTTCAGCAGCTGTTCTTGAGCACGCTTCGTTGAGTTTCGGTAACTTTTAACAAAAAAGCGATTGTTATTATTTAAGTAATTTTTTTCGAATTACTTTTTACAAAAATTTTAATAGCTGTACTTTTTTATTAAATCAAGTAGAATACGTTTTAATATTATTCCTTTTATTTTTTTTTATTTGCGCTTACCAATTGTTAAAACATTTCCTCAAAATTACTCTTAAATACTTTAAATAAGTCTAACAGTTAATAAATATTTTTAAATCTATGGAATAATTTTAAATCCTAACAAACCCCCGTAAAATAATTATTTAAATTAAAAATCTAAAACTAAAAGAAAGTATTTTTGTTCAATTTTATCGACAACTTTGCTATTGCTGAATAATTTTATTTAAATGTTAGCTTGAAAAGATTTAAACTTTTTTTTAATCTGAATTTTTTCTACTTGTAAATAATGAGCATATTTAATTTTTTTGTAATTTTAACTTTTATATCAACTGCGTGCGGTTTTTAAAATACTTTATTAAATATTAAAATAATCGTAAATTACTTCATTAAAATTCCGCTCAAAAATATCTTTAAATATACTCAAACAAAATTTTTTTTGCTCAACGCAAATAGCCCTAGCTACGCGCAAAATCGCTCTTAGACGACGTAAAATTCACATCGCCCGATGCTTTATCGCAAGGCCTGCATTCAATATTTAGTTTTAATCAAAAAAATTTAGCCAAAATGTTTTTTTTAAACATTTTCTTCAATATGAACACAACTTGTCTTGACAGTTGGGGATCCCTTTAATGTGATCTTGTAAAGAATTGAGGTAAATATAAAAAACTATGCTATAATTCTTAAAAGTTTAAATCTTTATAAGCGTTACTTAAAAAAAGCAAAATATTTTAAATATTCTTAATTTTTTTAGAAAAATATAAAAATTGATTGAGAATTTTCTAACTTTAAACAGGATTTTAAAAGCCATTTCAAAATTTTAAACAAGTTTCTTTGTTTCATTGTGTTTTGCAACAATTATTTAAAGTAACTCTAAATTAATCTAATCTTAAATATAAATAAAGATTCTAGATTTTTGTGAAAAGGGAGTAATGAACATTAGTATTAGAAAAACATTACTTTCTAAATATAAAAAATTAAAACTACCTTCTGATTTAAAATCTTGGTACCCACCACCAAAATCACCACGTGACATTTTAGACTTTTAGTAACTTTAAAAACAATTATAAGATCAAATAAACGCAATAATATATTTGCGAAGTGACTGTTTTCATGATATAAATAATATGATAGAAGCAAATAAATATAAAATAGATTATTTTATTACGGTTTACAACAGTTTTATGACAAAAAAGTAAATTCTTATAATGTCATAAACTTATATATGTATTTATACTTATATAAGCTTATATATACACATATAAGTTAATAGTTTTGAATAAAACCATATGTATGCGTATATATCAAGCCTTCTCAGGAGACACGTGTGGTCCCAAGTCTTATGGCCATGAATATAATCTTTTGTTTTATCAACTTGGCCACAGCCCTGCATGATTTGAGCATAGATTATCCTAGTCATATTTTAAAAGTCCGGAAAATTGTTTGGGAAAAAATCTGGAATTTGTTTTCCCTTATTTTCTTTTTAATTTGGCTTTTAGTTTAGTTGTTTCTATTTTTTTTTTTTTTTTGTTACTTTTCATAATTTTTTTTTAAGTGATGAGTCAAAAAGCTTAAAAATAAATATATTACAAAAATATATACCTCAACTTGCATGTATTGAAAATATTTTGGATATCCGGAAAAATTAAAAGTTAAAAAAAATATGGATGATCCCTTACCTGTTTAAGGTAAGGGATCATCCATAAATTATGCAACACTAAATTTAACTTATAGATAAAACAAAAAAAGATCAAAAGTTTTCCCTCAATTAAAACAAAAATGGTGTTTTAAGTTTAATAAAAACTGCCAAATAGGTGGTTGAATAATCTATGAAGGATCCCATAATGCATTTAAAAAATGTCCTGAATAAACAAATGCAAACTTAAACTAAAATTAAAAATAAATTATAAACTGGAAAGAGAATTGAAAACTTAAAAAAAAAAGACAAAACTAATATATATATACATATATATATATATATATATATATATATATATATATATATATATATATATATATATATATATATATATATATATATATATATATATATATAATATATATTAAATATATATTATATATAAAGATATATACTATATATAAGGATATATATTATATATAAGGATATATATACATATATATATATATATATATATATATATATATATATATATATATATATATATATATATATATATTAAATATATATTATACATAAGGATATATATATATATATAACATATATATATCAGCGCTCGAAATAACAGCCGATCAACGATCAATGATCGGCTATTTTTAGGGAAATTTAGAAAAATTCAAGGGAAAATAAGCTGTTTTTGTCAAAAAATTACATTTGATCGGCAAGTTTTGAAAAACTATTTCGAGCGCTGATATATATATATATATATATATATATATATATATATATATATATATATATATATATATATTAAATATATATTATATATAAGGATATATACTATATATAAGGATATATATTATATATAAGGATATATATATATATATATATATGTATATATATTTATATATATATATATATATATATATATTATATATATTATATATAAGGATATATATATTATAGATAAGGATATATATATTATATATATATATATATATATATATATATATATATATATATATATGTATATACATATATATATATATATATATATATATATATATATATATATATATATATATATATATATTATAGATAAGGATATATATATATATATGTGAGTATATATATATATATATATATATATATATATATATATATACATATATATATGTATATATATATATATATATATATATATATATATATATATATATATATATATATATATATATATATATATATATATATTATGTTAGTGTATTCTACAAATAGAGTGCTCAATGCTCTTAAAGAACAGAGCAATAATAATTTAGTAAAAACACTTATGTGGTTTTACTAAATTATTATTTTATGGAAAAATCCCAATATGAAAAAACAGTTGAACCATTATAAGACCATTATAACCATTATTTAGTTATTCTCTCTTTTTACATAATAGTAAAAAGAGAGAATAACTAAATAATGAAAATTATTCAACAAAAATTTAAACTTTTATTGAATAATTTTCTTTGTATTTTTTGCTATTGCCTATTTTGTAGTAATTAATAAAAAATTGTTATTTTTTAGACCTATGAAAATTCACTCAAATATATAATATATATCAGTGAATTTTCAAAAATGGTTAAGTCTTAAAAATAAAAATTTTGACTTTATTCCACCGCCAAACTTTATATACTGAAATCTATCATCTATTTTAATATTAGATTAAATAATAGACACTTGGTTTTAATCATAGATTGAAAAAACATCAACTTCTTTTATTGCGTACTTATAAATAGTCCAGTTTTTCGTCGATTTCTCAAAATCAATTAACTTGGCTTTACACTTTTTGAACATTTACTTGTTATATAATCACATACAAAATGTGTGCGTGTTTTTTCAACTTATTAAAATTATTATTTGCTTAAAAACAAAAAATTTAAAAAAACTAACGATAACCAAAGAACCAAAGTAAAAGTAGTTTTGCTTGAAATGGATACGTAAAATTGTTGATACGTGATTGATTTTATTTATACTTAATATATTTTTAAAGTTTTCGTTTGCCGTAAAAATAATAAATTTATTTGACGCTCAGAAGTTAATTTCTAAAACGTCGAAAATAAAATATATAGCAAAAACATTTGCTAAAAAAATATAATCTTTTTTGTACTAAAAAGTGGAAAATAAAGTTTTTGATTTAAATTTAATAGCTCAGTAAACTAAAAATTGACATATCGGCGCAAGATTTATATAGAAACGAGCCTGTTAATCTTTAGTTTACTGGACTATTAAATTTAAATTAAAAAGATTATTTTCTACTTTTTAGTACAAAAAAGATTTTTTAGCAAATGATTTTGCTAAATTTTATTTTCTACTTTTAGTCTTTATATATCCTGATGAAAGGAGCGGAATATTTTTTTTTTAAAGGATAAAAACTGTTCATATAAAATATTAAAGTAAGACAACATAAATTACAAATATTTCATTTGCATTGCCACCCTCTTCCTCTCCCACATTGTAGTATACTTTTATATTATTATAAACAAAATTATGTTGTAAGTTTATTTTTAAAAAGTTTTCTTTAAAAAAAAGTATTAAAAAAAAAAATGCAAACCCACAAAGAATCTTAACCAAATTTAAAAATGAAAAGATTTATTAATGAATAAGGATTACTTTTAAAATGTACCCGCAAGGAATTTAGTAGCATAATTTTAAATCATAGCACAGTGGGCCACTGACTGGACAAAAGTATAAAAATCAAAGTCAGAATTTTGATGTCGTAATGGTTTTAAACCTTGTTATAGATATTATGAAACAATTTAAAACCTTTTATATACATCTAAAATTTTAATGAATAGACTAATTATGTGGTTAAAGTATATGCAAACGTAAATTAGAAAAAAAAAATTATAAAGCAAAAAATGTTGTTTACAAAATCTATGGTAATAATGTAACACTGTATTAAATATTGCCCATTGAAAATTATTTTATTGTTGAACTGTCTATTTTCTGCATTTTAAGAGTTGTTAGATTAAAATAGGTAAAAAAACAAATAAGTTATAATAATTTTAAATACTTCAAAAGAATGTTTGAAGTGTATTTTTTGGTTTAAAAAATAAAAAAAATAGAAGATCTTGTAGTATCCTGTTATTTTATATACATATTTTGAAGCTTTTATATCCATATTATGAAAATATGTTTAGTTTAGCTGCTAATATTTGCTAAATTAATTTTTATTTGCAATGATTTGCAAAAATATTCATGGGCGGTTCCAGCATTTTTTGGTGTTTGAGTTAGCTAACTTCCAGACATTGAGCAAACTCCAAACATTTATATGTTTATACTTATATCAAATAAGGATGGTTTGCAAAAAATTGCGATGATTGGAGCCTGGTTTTGCAAAAAATTGCGATGATTGGAGCCAAACAAGCCCCAAAATTTGAGACGTACCTGCCCCAAACGTGAGAGCAACAAGTTGATAAAATATTTTTTGTACTATTCTCAACAAGACTTATATTTATCCATAAATTTTAAATTTTATTGTAAAATATTTTAGCGTTTAAAAATTATGACCATGTAAACTTTGAATCCTCCTCAAGTCGAGGAGGTTACAATTTTTATATGGTCATAACTTTTGAGCGCTAAAATATTTTACCTTATGAAGCTAGCTTATTCCTCACTTGCTTTGTGTCTTTGCTGTTATCTGGATATTGTAATGGTGAAAAGAAGATTATTTGGTCCAACCCTCATCCGTCATCCACTTTATTTTGCAGACCAATAAGATTCTCCTATAAAAAAGAAACATCAGATGTATTAAAAGAAGAAGAATAATTCCTTTAAAACTCAATAGAAAAATTATTTACTACAAAGTATGACAAATTAACAGTTCTGCACAAAATTGAAATTACAATGGTGGATGGGAAAGTTGCCACAGCACTATCCACAGCAACAAAATCATCGCAATGCCGCTCAGTTTGTGGTTGCAATAAAAAAAAAAAGAATGACTTAAATACTGCAAAAAATCTCCCAATTACTAAAACTGGACTTAATTATGGGCTTTCAACTCTCCATGCATAGATCAGAACTATGGAATGCCTTCTCAAAATAAGCTACAAATTAACAATACAGAATGGTCAACACGAGAACCATCAGGAAAAAAAATAATTCAAGATAGAAAGACATCAATTCAAAAGAAACTCCGTGATGAAGTTGGGCTTTTAATTGATTTTCCAAGGACTTGTGGTTCAGAATCTTCAAACACTGGTAATACTGCTCGATAATTTTTTTAAAATGCAGAGAAGACTTCTGAAGTTCTCCAACTAGGTGTCATCATCATTAAGATGTTGCATGTTATTTTGTGCACTATATCGTCACAACATGTTAGTGATTCTTCTCGATTTAGAGACTTCTGCATGCAACAGCTGAACGATATGTGAACCAGTATCCATGGTACCACATGCCACAGAGCCTGCACCTAATTTTTATTCATGGTTGGCAAGTTGTGGATCGAATGGCTTTGCCAATTGGCATGCTCAGTGAAGAGGCACAAGAAGCACTTCCCGTTCTAAAACAAATGAAGACTTGTTAAGGAGATTGATGTGTTCATCTGATCCAATTATTTGTAATTTGAGAACACCACATCATCCAAAGAAGAAAGACTTTACAGATGGAGTGCTAGAACTACTAAAAGAAGTACCACTTAAAGATTTTGTGTAAATATATTATATTATTACATTTTTACTGCAATGTTACTTGAATTGTGTTTCTGTTTTCAATTTTTCTGCCTATCTGTTTACTATTTTTTTTTTGCTACAAATTAAGGATGTTATAACGACATTTTGTTTACCCCATCGTAACTAAGGATATTGTAACTAAGCAATATAATTATCCATAGCAACAAAATAAAAAAATAGCACCTTTATAAAAAATGAACACGCCATATTTTTTTATTTATTTTTAATTCACCTCCTCAAGGCCGAGAAGGCCACTGCAGACGAGGAGGCTACTTATTTGTGGCTATAACCCTCTCTCAACTCTATAACTCCGAAACACGAACCTTGATGAACAAGGCCGCTGCGCGGAGAAACGATTTGAGCGCGGTACTACCAGGGACGTGGTGAGGATCGAACTCCGAACCACTCGTTTATGAAGCGAGCGCTCTACCACTACACCACTACCGCATATTAGTACTCATGCCAAATTTAGTGAATATAGCACTCGTAAAATATCTGCAAATACTAAAAATAGATTGTTGCTAAGCAAAATAAAGGTATCCATAGCAACGAAATAAAAAAATAGCACCTTCATAAAAAGGGCAGACATGATATTAGTACTCGTGCTAATTTTAGTGATTATAGCCCTAATATTAAATTAGTTATGAATTTTGTCCAGTAAAAGTGAATTCTGGCCCACTGTGCATAGGTTAATTCATTATTCTATCAGTTAGACAATAACAATAACACTTAACAAAAGATTCATATTAAGATAAAGCGGAAAAAAAACACATCTAAACATCTTTTTAGTATTTGTGTTAATAAGGTATGATTTTTGTGTTTTTAACATAACTATGGCTAGTTACGCTGGTGCCTTTATCAGGCAAACACGGTCGTTTAGATGTGGAAAGTTATTATACGCAAGCGCAGTGTCAAATTCAAATATTATAATTTTAAAGATGGTGACGATCTTTAGATACCAAAATTTTTTCTGAGTAGCAACAATATTTTTAAAGTTTTACTTAGTAGTTATTATTTGCATATTTTTGATAGAATGAAATAATAATAAAGATAATTGAATTGTTGATTCAAAAATGATAAAAACAATATAAAGATGTTTAAATATATAAAAAACATATATATATATATATATATATATATATATATATATATATATATATATATATATATATATATGTATATATGTATATATATATATATATATATATATATATATATATATATATATATATATATATATATATATATATATATATATATATATATATATATATATATATATATATATATATATATATATATATATATATATATGATACATACACAATTGGCCATTAATTAGAGCATTTTTACTTATATATCCTGTTTGCTTAAAATTACTTTAAAAACTAGTTAGCTTTTTAAATATTTTATTATTTCTAATTAATAAGTATCGTGTTTTTTATTTAATGGACAAGTTGTTACCATAAAATTTCATTTGTATCCCTAATTATATGTAACTTTATAACATCTATATTTTTTAAAATTTTTTTTGTTCGTTAAAAATTAATGCTTACTGCTTTATTTTTAAAATCAATGTAATATTTTTTTTATTAATTTAATTTGATTTTCATTAGCATAATAATTTAATTTGATTTTCACTAGCATTTTCTAATTTTGAAATAGTACTGATAAAAACACAAAGAAATTAGATATTGAAAAAGCCTCATAACGAGTGAAGTAATACAGCATGAAACTCCAAAATCATGGTTGAGATTCTCTGAAAAAACATGTTACAAATCTATTTTTATTTAAAACCAAGAATTATCTCCTCGTCAAATAGCCAATAAGTTAAATATTGAATATTCACATATTTGAAAACCTTATACTGAAACAGATGACATTATGGATCTGGATAATCTGGTGGGCAACACAATGAGATAAACGTTTTTAATTAATAAAATTAATTTGCTTGATGAAACACGACAGCAAGTGGTGAAATGTTATATTCTCAGACAAAATGAATGTTGAGGTAGATATGCAAAAATATGTTATTGCTTCATGTTCTGCTATGGCAATCACCTCAAGAGTAATTTGATTTGAATTGTACATGAAAACCAACCAAGCAAGGTAATGGCAGTGTAGACTTTTGGGCCTACATGATTTATGCAGGACTTAAATGCTATTAAATGTTTGAAGGTTGACTTAATGCTGATAGAAACATTGAGATTTTAGATAATTGCTTTCTTCAATCCTTATTTAAGAAAGATGGATCTGCAAAATATTGAAATGCTTTTTTTATGGTTTTTCTTTGGTAAAT